TAAGCCTCCTCTAACCTCAAAGTCTCCCCGACCAACAGCTCCATTTCCCTGATTACCTCGGATACAGAAGAAGGATTTGAGGGCTTACCATAAGGTCAAAGCTCCTGAAAATTCGGTTGGAGATCAACTAGGCTGATTCTTAGCATGAAGTCTCACGGTTCCCACGATACGGCCAGCAGCATAACCCACCCGCCACGGACAGCGCCACGTCCCCAGCTGATTAGCGATGGTGGTTGTAGCAGATGCGGCCCCAGTGGAAAGGCCCCGACCGTAGATGAGTCAGCTCCAGCATTTAATGGGTTCGAAAAGAAGCTGCTTACCAAAACCATCATTTGCTACTGAAGCTGTGGCAGAGATAGCGCCGGCGGTGAAGGAGGAGGAGAACGCTGTGTTATTCGAATACCCGTCTCCAGTAAAAGAGCCCGTAGCACTGTACCTCGACGACTGAGCAGCATCAGGGAAGAGGAAAGACTCTGCACCATGCTTTTCAACATACGGAGGACTATATCCAGTCTGAGCACGAATATTGCTCCAAAACAGCTTGTAGTCAGCCATAGAAACGATAGTCTTACCATTCAGCTCAAGACTCATCGAATCGATCACACTCCTATATTCCGCACTTCAGCGACCAGCAAAAACGGTTAGCAGGATTAGCCTGAACAGTAGGAGCATGAGTGTTTTTCATCGATACCTTGTATGGTAGCATAATGTAGGCATCACGGAGCGAAGCAAATCCTTCACTTCCATTAAGCTGGGATGTTGCATCGATAGTAATAACACCGTTTTGGTATGACCCCTGATTAAGATCGATAACGAAAGGCACGCGCTTGCCAGAGGAGACTTTAATATCCCGAATCACTCTGAGCGAGCTCTGGTAAAGATATTGGTCGAAGTTGTGTTTCAGACATCGTTGAGATTCTATATGGCACGTAATATACTTATTCAAAATATAATTATTATGGAAACTCGTCAAGCCTATTTACATCCGAATCATGATCTAATTGAAACTTGCCAAGCGTATTGGGGTTCATCTCGATGCTATCTTTGAGTCAAATGAGATCACAAAGCCGCTTCCGAAGAAAGGATCATATCTGGTTCCACTTAGATCGCCTAATCTCGATGTAGGACACTGGCAGGCTGTTCATGATGGAGAATTCTTTGATTCAATGGGGGAAGCGGCACCTACGAAGTAGGGCATCGGGCGATACAATCCCAAACAATATCAAGGCACTTATGGCGATTATTGTGGTCCGTTTTGCATGCTATGGCTATATTGCAAACAAAAAAATAAGATGAATCTATTGAATCGATTCAAAGTTCTGAATTTGTCAATTCTGTATTAAATATGTTTCAGGAAATATAGCAATAATGTATCGCGAATTGACGAATTCCAGCGATGTTTCCCAGCTCCCAGCTGACTAAAGCCCTCAAGACAGGTAAGCTAAGTCTTACAGCTGATCAACTCAAGGGTTCAGGCTCTGTTATCCATCTCCACCCAGCTTTCGTATGAGAAAGCACTAAAGGCACGCAAGGCGGGTCGTGGGGGTTAGACTTTGACATTACCAAGCATGAGATCAAGAAAAGCTACAAGAAGCCATAAGGAGGATCCATTTGGAGTCAAATCAGGGTTATCGACAGCATTCAAATTCGTAAAAGATAGTGATTTGCTGAGCAAGGGTCTGGATGCGGCAGTGCCTGCTATTGCTACAGCGTTTGGAGCCCCTCAAGCAGGAATCCCCGCAAGGGCGGCTATTAAGTCATTGACAGGAGTTGGAGTATATGACTCTGACAGCGATACCCCTGGTAGAGTCTCAAAACTCTGCCTACGTCCGAGCCTTGCTCGATGTAGAGAAAGAAGGTGGTCGTATTTCGGTAGCGGATGTTAAGAAGGCGGCAAAAAATGCTCTCGGGCATGCTAAACGTAAGGGGATTCTAACTGATGCAGTCAATGCAGGCGAGAAGTTTCTACTATCAAAAGCAACCAAGCCAGAGCATGAGAACCTGATCAAATCGGTTCGAGGTGAGGTAAAGAGACGCTATGGTGTAGGAGTCCCTAAGAAACCAGCTAAAGGTTCGCCCGAAATAAAGGCTCAGATGGCTGCACTCCGTGCTAAACGTAAGAAAGCAATGATTGCTGGCTCTTTTCGATTAAATTAGTTCCACCCTATTCTGCGGATTGGGAGAAAAAAAATCATTGAATGCTTATTTTTTTGGCCTCAACAACAACATGATCGAGACAGAAGTATCACGGAACTTAACCTTTTGATCGTTTTGATTATAAATACTGATCGTAATAGACGTTCTCGCGCCGTTATGACAGTTCATCCAAGCATACTGACTCGGCTTATAGCTGATTAATTGACCTACCTGAGCATCACCACGGTCAAACGCACTAAGGATATCACCAGAGGCAACATACTCGTTTTTGATCAGGTCGCATCGAACGATGTAGCTCGAGGTTGGGTGAATCTGAGGAATGGTATTTGACAGCTGAGCACTTAAAACCGTTGCAGACGCTGAAGGATACGTACCAGCAGTCAATCCTACTACTTTACCAAAAGAGGCGTTATCAATGATGATGCGAGTGACACGCGTTGTTGTTGGCAAACCAGTACCGCCTGACGAATAAAGCCCGCTTGCTGGTCGTGTCCAAGTGCCACCGGCTGTAGGAAGTGTCGTTAGAGTAGCGCTAAAATCGAATTGAGCAGCATAATACACACTGTTTTCCGTTAGTTGAATATAGAAAACGTTCTCACCAGATGGAATTAATTAAATACCGCTCCAGCATCCGTGCTGGACAAACAGCTCGACGGACTCGACACTGAGATGACACAACTTACGCATGAGGACGCAGCCGTAACACAGCAGAACCGCGTGCGACGAGTGCGTCTGGATCGTGTCGAGCAGGAGCAACTCGCCGCTCTGCTCGTGGATGCACTCGGCAGTTATCTGAGGCGCGGATCGGATCACGCGGAGCAGCAGCGACAACGAGTTTTTCTGCAAAACCCAAATAAATAATTCGGACATTTTATGATACGAGCGCATTGTACTTACCACGGACACGGCGTCCGCTTCGACTGACGTGATCGCCTCTAAGATTTCTGTCACCTGCTTCTGCGTCTGAACGACCGAGTCGCTCAAGTCTCGTTGTCGACGTGAAGATGCTGCTGATGGTTTTTGCGACGCTCGTGTCGAGTGAGGAGACGCTTGACGTCCTTTCATGCTCTCGGCCGTCCGCGCTCTACGTTGTGTCGTCCGCTGGTTCTCTGTCGTTGGGGCGGGGCCCTTCTCCTCTAACACGCGGTTTCGCATGACTCGTTGTTGCTGTGGAGGCACTTTGAAGAATGGCTGACTCTTGGCAGACTCGAGTGACGCTTGGATGCTAACCGTCAGTTGTGGTGGTTTCCCATGTCCCCATGATCGTCTTTTGTCTCGACAATCCTCGTGGAATCCGCAACACAATACGCTTGGTGTGTGGTCTGCTCCTCATTGTCGCGCTGATGCACTGATTGCCTTCAGGTACGCCTCCGCGTTCTCCCAAGCCACGATTTCGGGTGCCACCGAACGTACGGCAGCAGCAGCCTCGGTCTGAGCAGCCCACAACTGAAGCTCCAGGCTGCCAACTCGGTCGGGCAAGGCCCAGGACCTGGTCAAAACCCATTGCAGTCTCGAGGCGGAGTTGAGTGCGGACATCGCAGTGAAGAGGAGGCGCACATTGATCTGCACTTGATGACGAGCCATCGCGGTCAAGTACGGAATAGTCGATGTCATAATGTGATCAACTGACGCTTCCGTACTCTCAGCCAGCATGGCGCGCAACGAATCCTCGGCGAGTGGTGGAGAACCACCAGCAGACGCAGGCGGATCAGCAGGATCCATCCCCGTGGATTCAGCGACGACAGGAAGTGCCGCAGGAGCTGCAGCAGGGGGTGAAGGGGC